CAATCAGCTATCCTGCCCCTTTTCCTTCTCTAAGGTATCCCTTTTTGTGCAATAAATTATACAGCCCCTCTAACCATAAGGGTACCTAGAAGTTTGAAAACACTTAGTATTATAGGCTGAATTGTGTTCCCCCAGGTCAGAATGTGACTGTATTTTGAGATAGGGCCTTTCAAGAGGTGATTAAGTTAAAATGAGGCCATTGGGATCTGCCCTCATCTAATCTGACTAGTGTCCTCATAAGACAAGAAAATTTAGACCCACAGAGAGACATCAGGGATTCACCCATGTGCATTGAGGAAAGACCATGTGATGCAAAAATACACAACAGGGGGGTCACCTGCAAACCAAGGACAGAGGCCTTTGGAAAAAATCAAACCTGTTGACACCTTGATCTTGGACATCTAGCCTCCCAGAACTGTGAGAAAATAGATTTTTGTTATCTGAGCCATCGAGTCTATAGTATTTTGTTATCGTAGCAGCAATAAATAAACAAAAAAACCACCAAAACAACAAACAAAAAAACACACTTGGCAAAATATAAAGAAAGTAAAACCAATCTAAATACCATTTCTTAAATATTCCAATCCTCCAAGATGAATGATCATACTGTTTTCCAAGAAACCCACTGTATTGATTTTAGATTATTGGGGTTCTTCAACCATATCATAAAGGACTTGACTTCATGTCTTCACAGGATGCTTTTAGTTTTCATACACTCTGAGTCTATAAGGCCGTTCCCAGATGGAAGACTGACAATAAATGTCACATACGGTTGCCGTGTGTAAGGCCCAGTTCTTACCATCAAGGAGCCACATACTGATTGAGAAGTGTCTCATCTCCATGCAGCTCTTTTTTTTTTTTTTAAAGATTTTATTTATTTATTTGAGAGAGAGAGAGAGAGAGAGCACATGAGAGGGGTGAGGGTCAGAGGAAGAAGCAGACTCCCTGCCGAGCAGGGAGCCCGATGCGGGACTCGATCCCAGGACTCCAGGATCATGACCTGAGCCGAAGGCAGTCGCTTAACCAACTGAGCCACCCAGGTGCCCTCCATGCAGCTCTTAACACTGACTTTTATGAAGGCTCAGTGCAAGGTCACTAAGCCAGCCTGGAGAAGAGTTTAGTACGGGTTCCCGTGTAAGTGGACACCCAAGCTGGTTTTTAATGGGTGAATAGGAACATTCAGTGAAAGTAGGTGGTGGGACAAGTATTCCCTGCAGAAGGAACAGTCTTAAAAAAAAAAAAGGCAGGGTCTCTTGGGTGGTTCAGTCGGTGAAGTGACTGACTCTTGATTGCAGCTCAGGTCATGATCTCGGGGTCATGAGATCAAGCCCAGCATCAAGCCCCGGTTGGAGCTCCTCTCTGGGCATGGAGCCTGCTTGGGGTTCTCTCTCTCCCTCTCCCTTTGCTCCAACCCGCCTCCTCAGCCCCTCCCCCCACTCCGTGCGCACTCTCTCTCTCAAAAAAAAAAAAAAAAAAAAGGAGAGGTAAAGGAGAAACCATGTTCTTTCTGGTCCTTTCCTAACTTCCTGCACCCTCAATTTTAAATACAGTGTCTCTGTCCTCAGAGGCTAGAGAGCACAGCTGTTATCCCTCATTTTTTTAATCCTTTAAATATCTGAGATTTAAAAATTATAAATTCTGAATTTTTCAGCTTTTCTTTTCCTAGACTAAATAACTTCAGTCTGTCCAGGGTATTCTCCAAATTTTTAAATCCAGTTCATACATTGGCACCCATTATCCCTACCAACGTGCGCATTAATGTGCATGTGCACGTGCGTGCATCTGCACGCACACACACACACACTCTCTCATACACAGGCCAAAAGGGCCTGCAGTTCACCGAAAGGCTCTTAAATCTAAGAGAATATATTGGTGCTGTCCTCTCACAAAGTACATCTAGATTAAGGTCACATCCATCACACAGCTATGTGAACCATCAAATCATCGGTATATTTTCTTCATTAAGTAGAAAGCAACAGAATCAAACTGACATACATCAGTCATTCTGAGGGATGACTCTATATGCCCAGAGGAAGTTGTATTCCCCCCCTCCCAACTTCTGACAAGTGAATTAATAATCTTTCCATTTGTGGGTGTTTGGAAACATCAAAGAACTGAAATAGATCAGCCCCACTGATACACTATCGTTCTTCTAATCTTATATCACAGCATAAATACAACAGCCCTTGTTTTCCACACAGATTCCTACTTCTTTCACACCCAAGCATATGCTAAGAGCTCTCAAACAACACTCTTCCTCTATCTCTGGGAGGTGTCTTAAAACATTTTTAGCTCACCAAACAGAAAACAGAGGAGGATCTGTTTCTTTACTCAAGGATAATCATTTTCAACTGCCTATTTATACTGCAGATGGAAACCTATAGGTTGAAATAAACATATTTTCATTCTAAAATTGGCATCTGCTCTGCTATCATTAAAGGGTGCCACAATTGTATTTGAAAAACAATCATCCAGGAAATTCCATGTTGCTTCACCATGTTGAGACCAAGTGCTCACTGGAATGAGGTGAATAGCATTAAAGTACTGGAGGAAGAACATTAGCCTACTGAGCTAATAGGACCACATGTAGAGAGAAGATGCCAAAAATCATAGTGAAATGTGTGACTAAAAAGCAATATCTTATGACCTAGAAGCAGAGGATCAGTTTCCTTTGAAAGAACCCAACAAGAAATGATTGACTGAAAGTCTAAAACGGTGCTGTAAAGACAGTAGCAACTAACCATATATGACTATTTAAATTAATTAAGATTAAATAAAGTGAGAAATTCAGTCCATCAGTTATACTAGCCACACTTTAAGAGCTCAATAGCCACATGCAGCTAGTTGTTCCCATATTGAGCAACACAGAGTAGAAATTTCCATCATTTCACAAATTTATATTGGGCAGTGCTGGTCTAGAACATTCTGTTTGACTATGATGTTAGCATCATTTTAACCATCAGGCCTTAAAGAGATGATGGGGAGCACAGCATACCTGCCAGATGTGACAAGCCATGGCAGAAAAGAACTATGGAGGCGCCTGGGTGGCTCAGTTGGTTAAGCGACTGCCTTCGGCTCAGGTCATGATCCCAGGGTCCTGGGATCGAGTCCCGCATCGGGCTCCCTGCTCTGTGGGGAGCCTGCTTCTCCCTCTCCCACTCCCCCTGCTTGTGTTTCCTCTCTCGCTGTGTCTCTCTCTCTCTGTCAAGTAAACAAATAAAATCTTTAAAAAAAAAGAAAAGAAAAGAAAAGAACTATGGAAAGGAAAAAAATATTCTACTCCTGGAATGAGCTAATAGGATAGAGTATTGGCATTTTATTACAAGAAAGATCCCTAGACAAGCAGAGAAATCTTGGGCTACAATGGAAAGGACTTAGTAAATACTACTATCTGAAAGTCTCATCACACTCTTCTAAGCATTCCAAAATGTACCAGCCTCTACTCATGTGTTAGTGGCTGATTGGACTTTATCGGTCATCCATTCCTCACTTCCTGCCCCTGATGTTCTGCTCTTTTGAACATGCAACAAAACATTTGTGAACATGTATTTAAATAAATAGAAACCCCAATCAAAATAGAAAAATGCAGACTCTTCCCAGGTTACAAAAAAAGGCAAGAACTTTATTTTAAACAAATCCTCAGTTGTGTGTTACATCATGTCCATACCTAAATCAAAAGTCATAAATGATAACGCAAAGGAAATAGAGGGCTTCATAAAAGCAATTATCCAAATATTATTCTTGGCCAATGCTTGAACTAAATACACAGTGGATGTGAAAGGTAGTGTATGGCACTTAAATAAATAAGAGCAAAGAGAAGGAAACATATTCACAGTCCGAAGAAATAGGTTTTTGAACCTTTGGTATATGTCTCAAATAAACATCAGTAAACACATGTTAGCCAATAGTGTTTCATTCCAGGTTTCTCAAGCTAGGGCTCGTGTGTGTGTTGCAGAAATAACTGATAAAATAATAAATTGGGATTCACATGGGCTGATTAAGGTCTCTGGTGTGAGCACACAGGCAAATTCAAACCATGGCAAAATGAAGTGCAGCTGTGTTGCACAATGAAACTATGTAAGAAAATGAGTGAAATACACCAGTGAGAAATTCTGTGGCTCAAGTAGACACCCTTGATATTAACAACAGCGACAAAATATTTTTAATGCTAGCCAAAGTCCACAAGCTGGAAGGCAGAAATATCCCAAAGCTCATAACCACATGCCTAACAGTGCAACAACCATTTCACAGAAGTGTTATAGCTGCATATTGCAATCCCCTCCCTCCCACCCAACCCCTGCCCCTAAGAAACAGCACCAGTGCAGTTTGAGTTAGAAAATTGGAAATACTGAGACATTCCGAAGGTTTTCATAATGACTAAGGGCTAGTCAGATGGAGCTTTAATGCAAACCTCTGCCATGGCCATTCTCCAAAAAGCACCCCCTGTAATTCCCTCTAGCTTGCAGATAAACCATATTAGGTCTACTGTAAGGCCAGATTCAGAAAAAAAAGCTGGCATGCTATCCTGGGTTGAGGGAGAGGGGCATGCTGATGGGGTAGGTACATGGAAGATGCCTCAAGGATGTTTGTCCTGCAGCCCGGGATGAAGGGATGTGTTGAGATAGGTCACAAATTTTGTACCAATGAAGTATCTGTCTCACACCGTTCACCAGGATATAGAGCTCAGCAGAGCTAAGTCCTACTTGGTAGCTGTTCAAGCACACTGTTATTAGGATCAGACTGGGCCATAAATGAGGAGGGCCCAAAGAAGCCCCCCTCATCCTTCTCCTCACTCTAACCTGATGGTTTCTGTTGGAACCAATGGTGTGACGTGTGGTAATGGTTCTACTTTCTCTCCTCTCCCATTGATGCAAGGTCTTCTCTTATCCAGTCTTGTCCTACATCTCAATAGTAAATGAGGGCAGATGCAGTCACTCTCTGAGCAGTCATCTGCCTCGGGGCTCCTTTTCATTCCCCAGGCCTTCCCCAAACCTGCCCCTTCACACATAGGCGGAGTCACTGGACTGAGTCCTGCCAAAATTGGGAACACTGACTCGGGGCAGGTCCTTGTTGCGGATCTCATAGACGGATTTCCTCTTGGCCTGGGCCCCTCGCACAGCCAGCTTGATCTTGCGCCATCCTAGGTGGTTGAGTTCAGCCAGGTTGAGCACAACACAGATGCCACTCACAGCAAACATGAACACTAGAAAGACAGTCTTCTCGGTAGGCCGGGACACGTAACATTCCACTTCCTTGATGCAGGGGTAACGGTCACACTCATACAACCCTGGGACACTGAAGCCATAGAGAAAGTATTGGCCCACCAGAAACCCAATCTCCAGGGCATTTCTGAACACCACTTGGATAATATAGAAGCGGGAGATGCCTTCCTGCCTTCGGAGCTTGGATCGCGCTGCAGTGCGCAGCCCTGATGGGTGTGGGGTCAGCTCCTTAACCTCTAAACAATCGGGCTCTGTCTCCTTGCTGGTGTTCTCTGTGTTCTGCAGCACCCCATTGACAATGGCATTTTGCAACTTCTTATCTTCTCGTTTGCCACCACCACTGACTCCACTCACAGTTCCTCCAGGACCCCCCATGGACTCAGGGGGTTCCCTGTCCAGGGCTAGGAAGACTGTAGAGTAGCGGCGTTCTCGCTGCTTAGCAGACTGGTGCACAGAGTAGGTGATGAAGCACAGACTGGGGGTACACACCATTATGATCTGGAAGACCCAGTAACGAATGTGGGAGATAGGGAAGGCGCGGTCATAGCAGGCCTGGTTACAGCCGGGCTGCAGGGTGTTGCACACAAACATGGTCTGCTCATCATCGTACACCGTCTCCCCCACAATGGCCACAATGAGGATCCGGAAGATCACCACCACAGTCAACAGGATCCTGAGCAGGGGAAGACGGAGGGAGAAAGGTTCTCAAGGGCTGAGTCACTGACTTAGGAAACCCCTGCTCCTCCTTTCCCTGCTCCTTATGTTTGCCACTCCTTTGACTGGGGAGCTGTCCATCCCTGTGTGGTACTGAGCTGGGAATCTAGGAAATCTTTTTTGCTGGTAGACTGAGAACACTTCATATTACAAGGGTCTCAAGTGTATATACCTCCATACACTGGACATGGTATATTGCAACAGATAGAGTTCATCTGTATACATGGAATATACAGAGGCAAAAGACACACACCTTCACTCTGGATATGGCAAATGCACATGGAATATATGAACAGAGTACATGTTTCAAAGTTATACACAGAGTGTGCATATAACTATCCCAAGTGGATGTTTAGTTTACCCTCAGTATAAATATTGAACTTAATGCTTTATGTAAACAGATAGCTATGAATATCTATCCACATATATACATAGATATATATATAGTGCATATACATATGAATATATGTGTCTTTATATATAAAGACACAAAAGTATCAATTGGGAGTGGGGGTTTCTGATACTGTAGGTTTTAACAGCCAAATCAGTTTAGTTTATTTATTTATTTATTTATTTATTTATTAAAGATTTTATTTATTTATTTGACAGAGAGAGACACATTGAGAGAGAAGCACAGGCAGGGGGAGTGGAGGGGGGAGAGGCAGGCTTCCCGCTGAGCGGGGAGCCCGATGCGGGGCTCGATCCCAGGACCCTGGGACCATGACCTGAGCCGAAGGCAGACGCTTAACGACTGAGCCACCCAGGCGCCCCTAGTTTAATAAATATTTTGGGGGGAAAGATACATCTGCTCCGAAGAGCAAATCCATCTCCCCATTTGCCCTTCTCTGTCCAAACACAACCCTGCCTTCCTTGTAGAGTCTATTCAGGGAACCGGATGGAGATAGGCTCTGACTCCGGAGAGTGGGGCTACCACGACTGAGCCAACAACTCCTTTTCTAAGGGGAGAAGGGTCAACCCCCCGGTGGTGCTTCAGCGGGAAGGGATGGAGAGCTGATCAGGAGCAGCTGGGGGAAGGGGACATCACTGGACACGGGGTGCACAATTAAACAGGGACACAAGCGCACAGACGGAAGAGGATGGGAAGAGGGCAGTGGATGGGCTGGGGGCTGTCGGGGCTCGGTCGGGACGTGAGGAGGCACTCCCGGGGGTCGCCCGAGGGGGCCCGCTGACGGCCGGCTCAGCGCCCTTACCTCCCGATCATAGTGGAGTGCTGCTGCACCGCGGCTTCCAGCAGCCTCTCCAAGATGGTCCATTCCCCCATCGCTGTGCATCCGGAGGCAGCAGACAAAGACTGGGCAGCACCGGGCACGTTCCCGCTCCTGGCCCCTCCCTGGGCCGCACCTCCCGACTGGGAGCGCTTGACCCCGGATCAAAGAAGCAAACAAATTAAAAAAAAAAAAAATTCCAAGAATCCCCTCTCCCTTTTATTGCACTTAAAAGAGGGAAATGAGGAAAGAAATCGCAGCGCTCCCCGACCGATGGGGCAGCTGGCGCGGTCGCGAGAGCGGGCACAACCCCCCGTGCCGTCCCGGGATCAGGTGCGGAGCCCGCGGATGCCCGGGAGAGGGGCGGGGCGGGGGTGGCAGCGTGCAGGTCCGCGAGCTCGCGCCCGCCCGAGAGAGCTCTCCCCCCCGGGGTTGGGGGCCAGCGAAGGGTCCGGGCACCAGCCCCCGCGCCTGGCACTTCAGCGGGCACCGGGCGCCCCTGGACTGCCGCCTGCGAGGCCCGGGCGGAGCGCGCGGAGCTGGCTGACGGGCTCGGGAATCCGCGGCCGCCGCCTCTAATCCGCCCTTAAGTAGTCTCTGCCTGCGTCACGCCAGGTCGGCGGAGGGGAGCCGAGCGCGGCGTGCGGCTGTCGCTGCGCGCTGGAGCCCGAGGGGCAGGGGACGCGCGCGCGGGGAGAGGGGGGCGAGAGTCCTGGGGGCCTGGCGGGGAGTGGGGCGACCTCGGGAGGAAGGATCTCAGCGCCCCTCGGGGCTTCTCGAGGCGCACAGGTAACCTCACCTGACCGCCAGTGCCCTGCAGGAGGACGGGCAGCCGGGAGCAGACGCGTGGGTGAGTGGGGAGGAGCGGGAGTAGGTCGTGTGGCCTCCCTACGTGCGTCCCTCACCTTTTTGCTCTTTGTCTTCGGGGAGACCACTAAAATTCCCTCTCTAAATGGGGATGCTGGTTGGGGGACGGTGAGTGGGAGCGACGGTAGGACACTTTTAAATCTCCGTTAGAGAGGACTGAGTGGCGGAGAACGAGCCTGCAGTTCGGTGCCTCCGTGGGTCCGATGCTGGGGTGAGGAAGGCTGAGGAGAGTCCATTTAGGCCAAAGCTTAAATGCAAGTATGAAGCTGCTTCTGAGGAAGGGGTCTGGACACAAGTCTATACCTAGGAAGTGCCTCGCGTGAGCAGGTGGGTGGCCACGATTTAAGGTCTGGCTTCTCCCAGCACAAAGGCAGAGGCTCTGCTATTTAAAAAAAAAAAAAAAAAATCTATTTATTTGTTTATGTGTTTATTTATTTGCTAAAGGGGGTACTTCTCAGATTAACCTTGGTCTGAATCTGAATTTAAGGAGGCCCAGTACTCTACTATCAGAAACAAAACCGCTGACAACCTCACCCCATCTTCACTTCGCTTATCTGGTCTTGGCTTTCTCCTCTCAACCAACAGATCCTGGTTTCTGTCTTTAAATTTACATTTTGTTGTCCATTCTATCCAGAGCAACTGCTTAATTGGTTGCTACAAAATAGAAACAATCACACCACGCTGCTAATTAGCTCAGGGGTCAGTATAGGGAGACACAGTAGTTGGGAATGATTCATATAAATGTACCCAAAGCAAAATGGGTAAGTGGTTGTCAGCCTTTGAAAAACACAGCTTTGTAAAAGGGTTGCTAACTCATTCTAGGAGCCTTCATTATCCACAAGGATCATAGCACATAAGTGTATTACATAAATCACACCGTGATGAGCTTTCAGTTCTAGAGCAAAGGTGTTTGGGTAGCAGGTGGCCCAGGGACTGGGAGGAAGGGTACCAGGCATGGGCTCGAGTCCACTCACACTGCACTTTTGTGTTAAATGACTTTCAAGGCACAACTCAATATTCAGTGCAAGAGGGATCAGAGAGATTTCTCCTAGGCCAGACACCTCTACCCCAAGGAAGCAGTTTTTCACTGCAGAGAAGTAAAAGAGTCTACTAAAAATGGGAAGGGTTTCGGGTATAAGTGGAACATTAGGGTTAAGGCAGGTGCTCCTTCTTTCCTGCTGGGCGGAGAAGAGACACAAAGATGAGGCTGGATGTATATCCTATTATCCAGTCCGCTTCCAGATGGAATGGTGATCCCCTGGCTCAGACTTCGGGTTTTCTCAGACTTCCCTCCTGCTTCCTTAGACCCTGGCTCCCTGTATTCTCTCCTTTGGCAGACCGTTCTGGAGTAAAGTATCTTAGACAGGGGTGAATGAGTGAGACAGTCCCATAGGAAATCTGTCTAACATCTTCAAATGTCCTAAAATAAGCTGCACAACTCAAAATCATTATGTTCTATACATGTGGTTTTACTAAACCCTTGAAGATGATCCTAAGGCCATAGAATGCAGGAAATACATTTTAAATATTCTTACAATGCAATATTCAAACACTAAGTTATGACTACATCAGTTGGTTATTTTAAAATAGTTTAATATGTCATATAGATTCAACATGGTAACACACATATAAACACACAAAAACATCTATACGTAGAACCCATATTTTAAAAGACTCATCTGTTAGATTTGGTAGCCTGTTTTTATATGAAAACCTTCTCACCTTGAAAACAATGAACTGTTTTATTTTTTAAAAAGTACTTATCTATTCATTTGAGAGAGAGAGAGAGAGAGAGAGAATGCGAGTGGAGAGGAGTGGAGGGAAAGGGAGAGAGAGAGAAACCCCAAGAAGACCCCCAGCTGAAGGGGGAGCCCATCGTGGAGCCGATCCCAGGACCCTGAGATCATGACCGAAGCTGAAATCAAGAGCTGGACACCCAACCAACCGAGCCACCCAGGTGCCCGGAGCTGTTTTATTTTTTTTTAAATCACTCATAAGTTGTTTTACTTCCTATGCTGTATTTCCTTTTTTGAGCCTGATCAACGCCACATTCGATTAGTAATTTGCCCCGAGAGTGCTGCATTCAATATGGAGCGGTTCTATGTAGTGCCGGACACTTCTGAATTTCCTCAGAGCGTTATCTCATCCAGCTGATTCTCACTGTCTCAATTACCCTCTGAGCAAAGATCCCCATTTAAGTCAGCTGGGAATTTTGTTCCTTTGGCTCTTATTTAAAACTCATCTTACTCTACAGAAGTCATGGTTTTAGATGAAAAACGATGGAATTCATAGAATAAACCTCCTTGTACATTAGACCATTTGGGGGATATGCATTAAAAAAACAGACACTGGAGTCCACCCCAAATCTGCTAAATTAAAATCTATGGAAGTGAGGTTTAAGTACCTGCATTTTAATTTAATTCTTGCCAGTGACTCTGATAACAATAACAAGTTGAGAATTCTTGTTTCTGTGAGTATTAGGGCAGAGAGGGTCCTAGAAATCAGGAGATCCTATCACCTGTTTCACAGATGTTAAAATTGACCCCCAGATTAGGTGGATTGCCTAAAGTTATACATGTAAGGAAAAAACTATGAAGAAAGTGCTATTTAAGAGTCCTAGAGAAGACCAAATAATTTCAAAAGATGGAAGATATGATCTTTGAAGAAGAAAAAGGGAATTAAACTGGTTTGGGTCATGGGGACATACCAACCAGTACATATATAAAGGAAAGTAATACCTGGATTGTTGGCTTTGCAAAGGCCAATGTCTTACTAAACAGTAATTTCCATTAATAGAACAGGAAAAACATTCTCTACAATTAGTGGAGAAAACTGTAAAGGCACATAGCAAAGGGCATGAATATTCTAATATAAGGAGAGAATAGAGAGTTACTGACAATGATTCATTTTACTACATGGGTGTATCTGGATTTGCTCTTAATCTTATATGTGCTTAGAATTTCATTCTCTTCTTAACCACAGATTCCCAGGTGAACCTGTTAGCTTTGCAGCTTCAAACATTTGGTAAAGGAAACCCCCCTAGGCACTTTGTCGAAGGTGTAAGAAGGAAAGTGAATCTATTGGCCTCTCCTTTACTGGACTGTAAATTCTTGGGGAGCAGAAGATACACCTTATATAGGTCATGGTACTTTCCACAGTGTCTTTAGCATTGTGGAGACTTAAATTCATTGAAGGAGTAGGGTGGCTACTCTGGCTGTCTATTCTCCTCAACCTGGGAAACCAGCACATTCCCTGAGTAGAGGTGGGTCCTGGCTCACATTCAAACTGAGAGGAGAAAGGGGTTCCCTTTTGCTAAGGGAAAGTCCCTTCACACCTGGGGCCGCCTGTGCCCCTTACTAGAAAGCTGTTTTGCTAACCACCAGCCCCCTGCTCTCACTTGGTGCTGCTTTCACTCACTGTGGTCCCATCACCAGGGAATGCTGCTGAGCTTGCAAGCCTTGTGCTGCCCCATCAGAGAGGCAAGGCAGCCCAGGAGGCCGACCACAGCCCTGCATACACAGATTCTGGGAAGCTCCAGCATCTGTAGCTTCCGGGATTTGTGTGGCTCAGAAGGGACTGCGTTCAGTTTGGGATTGGCTTTTGTGTTAAAGTCCTCCACATTTCATTCACAAACAGCTAAGATTAACTGAGCTCTATTTCCCCCAGTGGCCTATATACATCTGTTTCCTAATGAAACCACCAAATTTTCTGCTGAGGAGGCAAACCCAACCTGTCTTGGGAGACTTAAAAAACCTAGGTGGCCAATGAAATCTACTCCTCTTTGCTGCGAAGTGATTTCTCTCTCTCTCTCTCTTTTTTTCTTTTGTGCTTCCTTACCCACATGTAGGCCCCAGCCCAAATGTTTAGGGAAGTACTTCTGTTTTTGCTGTCCAGACAAAATTTACAGAGTAATGTTTCCTGTAGGAGTAAAGCTGTCCAACCCACAGTTATAAGTAGCCCTGAATATGGTGGCTTGCTGTGTGGCTTAGGACTTCCCAGAGCCTGTTACCTTCAGAACTATTCCTCAATCTCATGGTCCCAAATGTGAAGCTGTGTCTTAGCCCCAGGAGACCATGTATCTAAATAGTGGGGAAATTGAACATCTTCATCTTGTGTTAGTCCTTTTAATAAAAGGGTATATTTCCCTTTTTAAAAATCACATGTACAAATTCCCCATTCCCCACCCACC